ATTACTTTTATTTCCTTACAAGAGAAAAAAAAATCCTGCTATTTTCCTTTCCTTCCCCACTTGCTGTCCAACCTCGTAGGCAGAAGCCCACTTTCTGTAACTACACAGTGGATATACTCTACCTTGTAAAACCCTGGTACTGAGCAGTTTACTTTGCTAAGAAGAATGAAAGGCTTAAGAAATGGGTGAAGGGCATTGCCAAAGGACAGGGGAGAAAGCCTGAAAGAGTTCCCAACAACCAAAACTGGAGCAGCAACACGAGTTACATGGTATTAGTTACGATCCAAAAAATGAATCCAAATTGATCTAAATGACTGTGATCAATAAATGAAAGAAAAAGAACTATTGATTTTATAATTCCAATGAGAAGATGTAGAAGGAATTCTGCAGACAGAATTCACCAATGAAAGGCAAACTCAGTGCATGAAGCATGACCTTTGCAGAGCCACAGAAATACACCTCTGAAGGTTCACTGATGCCTGGGCAGTGTTCACATGCAACTGGACCTTCTTCCACACCCGCCCCTTCTCCTCTCCCCTGGAGACAGGGATGACTTGGATTCCAGAGCAGAAACGAAGCCCACCTTACCAGGAGGTCAGAGGTCACATCACCAGTAGTAAGTATCATCCACATCACAAGCCCCGATATCACACGATACTACAGAAAGATATGTCACCTCTGTGGTTCACTTCCCTGAACTCCAGAAAGCTCAGTCTCTTCCTGAGAAAATTACAGTCAAGCTCAAATTTGGGTACATTCTATGAAATTCCTGATCACCCCTTATTAAAGGGTCAAAGTTGGGGCTGGGGTGTACCTCAGTGGTAGAGGGCTTACCTAGCAGGCATGAGGGCCTGGGCTCCAGCCCAGTGCAAAATGAATAGAATAGAATAGAATAGAATAGAATAGTCCAGGTCATGAAAGATAAGGAGACACTGCAGACCTGTCACAGATAGAGAAGAGGAAGCAGACAGGACCCTCCCTGGCCCCATACACTGCAGGTAAGTGCAGCCTGGTATTCTGGACTGAATCCTAGAACATATAAAGTGCATTAGTGGGAAAAGTGGGGCATCTGAATAAAGTCCATAGTGAACTTTGTCACTTGCACCAGTCTTCATTTCATAGTTTTGACAAATGTTTTGTGGCTCTGCCATGTGTGAACGTTGGAGGAATCTGGGTGATAGATATGTGGGCACACTGCGTGCTGTCTTTATAACTTTCCCTAAATGTGAAATTATTTCAAAATAAAAAGTATATTTTTAAAAAAGGCTCTAAGAAGCACATGCATCTTCCTGACATCACGGACAGGTGTGAGTTATGGGCTGTTCTCTAGCTGAGGAAGGTTTTCAATGCACACAGAGATACTGTGTCCCAAAGCCACTGGCCTTACCTGTCATGAAAAAGAGGCCTGGACTAGGAGTTAGGAGACTTCTACGTCCATCTGGCCAAGTTTCGTGAATGTCCATCTTTCTCATGTGTCAAATGGAACCATTCATTCACAATACAATGCAGTTGCTTAATCAGCTTTCAATTGAAAAAGCTGCTCTGGGGAATGTTTAGCACCCAACAGAATACATGCTTAATCAAATCTTGAGTGTGTGTGTGTGTGTGTTTTTATATATATTTATACATTGATTATCCACATATCAAAGGCCACAAACTCAGAAGCTTAAGAGTTCTATGGAAAATTCTAGAATGTGTGGCTCTCTCCAAAGGAGACATTGCCACTCAGTAGGGTTTGGTCCCAGTGTTACCTGATATTTGAGTTTTTCAAAATAAGATAAAAATCCTGATTTTATTTTCCCAAAAAGTGTAATCTCCTTATTTTAAAATGTTGCTAATGAATTCAAGATATTTCAGAGCATTGTGCTGAACATCAGTCAGAACCCTGGCCTGACAGGGCTTTGTGTGTTCAAGACAAAGATGCCTCTGGGTTTGTCATGGAAGCAGAGAGCTCCTGCCCGGGGCTGAGCTGGGACCAGGAGCCAGGGCTGGCTCTCTGTTGGCTTCCACCCCTAGTCTTGTCCCTTCAACTAGACTCTCCACTGCCCTGGGGCGAGGACCTTGCTTAACCCACAGCCTTGCCTCAGTCAGTCTGTTGAGCAAGGAATTTGTCATTGCCCATGCTGACACCCCTCACCCACTCAGTTAAACTTCTCCAAAGAATCATTTCACCACCACATTTTATATCCTTTGACACTTCTTAAAAGGGAAGCCGGCCAATAATTCGAAGTTTGGCTGAAATGTTGCTTCTCCTCTCCCTGGCTTCAGTCTGCCAGCCCCGTGGTTATGGCTGTTTGTAATCAAGGCCATTTTTTTTAAAAATCTGAATAGAAAATGGACTTTTATCTCTAAAAGAGTGGGTGCAGGCCAGGTTATGACCCCAACTCACTGGATTCCAGAAGCTGTAGTTTTACTTTTAGTAAAAAACACAGTCTCAGTCACACTTCTGAGAGTGGCATGCAGGCAGAGGCCCCCAGTCCCACCCTGCAGTTGGATTAGCTGAAGGACACACAGCGAGACCCTCAGAAACCCTAGAGGCTGCAGAGGCAGATCCAGGAGGAGGCCACAGGGGGCGGAGCAAACACCAGCTGCCCAGAGGGGGGGCGAGGTGATTGACAGGGGTCAAGAGCTGGAGATCAGAGCTGGAGACAGACAAGCAGCTTTTTTAGGGTAGCCCCCCCTCCCCTTTTTTTCTTTGTGTCGTGATGGTCCACGGACCTGAGGATGCTACAAATATCATTGCATGCCATAATTTATTCCATCTTTATTGTAAAAAAAAAAAAATCTCCAGAATTAAAAAAAAAATCTCCAGAATAATTTGGTTAAAGGATTAGAAAGTTTTACAATATTAGCAAAGATACTCCTTCAAGATTGTATTTTAAAAGAGATAAATATGCCCATAGTAAAATCTTTAAAAAAAACACTGAAGTATATAAAACGAAAAATTAAAAAAAAAATGTTCTCTTTACATTGCTGCCAGCAGGACTTCCCAATAATTTCCACTGGGAATGATGTCTTGTTAATATGTCCATTTTAATGAAAGCATATGAGTGCAGACCTATGTGTATTTATGAATATATGTATTCTGTGTTTTGGAAGCTGGGCTGAACTATGTGTTCTGTTCTGAATTTTGCTTTGTTCACTTAAAGTATTTTCTTAGTAGCACACGTTGTTTTTCATGGCTGCGTTATCATCTACTTACAGATATGCCCTACTTTATTTAATCATTCCCATAACAATGGGCATCTAACTCCTGTTGTGGTCTATTAGACACCTTCAGAGGGAATCACGTTTTGTTCACATGCTCAAGTCTGAAGCATCACCTTCTAGATGGATAATTGCAGGGCAGAGTCATGAACTGTTTTCTTCACAGTTCTGCATGGCCCTCTGCAGGCATGCACGTGCAGTTATGTGAGTGTTAAAGTCGATCGTGGACTTGGAGGGACCCCTTTTACAGAGGCACTTTCAGTTTCTTCCAAGGCCGAAAAGACCAGTGCATGGATCTTCCTCTTAGTGGAAAGACACAGCACAGAGGAAGGTCATGTGCTAAGGAGGGTGAACCTGAACCTGTCACTCAAGACAGACCCTGGACAGCTGCTGCTGCTTGAAGCGTATTTGTCAAATTAATAAATAAATGAATCACATCACGACGGTGCTTATAGAGAGGGCATCAAGATGTGTCTCAATGCAATGATGCTTCAACCATGAAAACCCTTCATCACTTGAACAAATAAATTTCACCTTTAACCAGTTTAATTGCATTCTTATGCTAGCAGGAAAGACATGCAGTTTGAGGTATGTAAAAAGAAATGTTCAAAGTTCTGACAGCAGATAGGTATTCCACCTGGCTAACCTATAATTTCTATTTCTCCTATTTTCTTTGAGTGGTATTTGGTGGATAGTTACCATATTATTAATAATGTACATTTTTTTCTTAAGTACAAGTTTAAATGCTTTTTATTTTATTCAGTTTGCTTGGAAATTTTCTTTTTGTAGATTTTGGAAGCTACTTTGCTTTAGTCTCCCTGTCTGTGAATTGAGGCTCATCCGGGTCCCTCTGGCTCTGACAGTCAGGAAATCACTAAATTCTAGAGAAGAATCGGTACCTTCTAAATTACAGGGGCTTTGAGTTTCACTTTCTTCCCATCCAGATGAGGATGTCTGGTTGCCTTGTATATATGTGAAAGGTAAATATCAATAATTAGATATGCCTTTAGCCATCAGGACTGCAGGGGATAAAAGAGTCAATTTCTTTGCATCCCCTACAGCAAAAGTATTTTTTTCTAGATTCTATCTCTTGGGATAATTAGTCCTATTTGCAGTAGATCATTACCAATTTGGAAAAGTCTTTATTTCAATGGCGATTTACTTGACTGATTAACTTACGCTTGAAGACTACTAGAATTCACTCTTAAATAAATTTTAAATGACTATCCACTTAGCCAAATAACATTTATTGAAACTTGACTTTGAGGCTCAGGCATTTTAATCTGTGTAACAAGGGACTGCAGAATCACCAGTTGTATAAACCAAAACAAAAGCAAATTCTGCCATTTAATTTCCAACGTCTCAGGCTACTCACTTGATAGGGACCCCAAGTTACAGATTAATCCTCCTGATCACCAGCTTCCTGGCTTATAATGGGGTCCAGCACCTATAATGCATGTTTCTTGGGACTCATCAATCAGCATGGTATATTCCTTATTTTGATTAATCTCAGAACCTTCTCACTGAGATGGGCCCTGATTTCTGACTCTTTCACATCCTTCAACTTGAAATTCAGCATCACTGACATTTAGAAAAAGATGGAAACAATCAAAGATAGAAAAAAAATCTTTTGGTTCATTTAAGTCACTCCCAACTGGTTCCAGGATAGGAGAAAAGTGAGTTCCAGGGGCCACCAAAGGCCACATGTATAAGGGGCCGTGTCCATTTCAATTTCTAACCCCAAACGTGAGATGTTTTCACACCTGACAACATACAAGCTCAACACACCATACCTCAAAGACGAATTTGCAGGTGACTGATCTCCTGCTAGGTGTGGAGGAGGGCAAATGTCCCAGCCCCGTCCTCCCTCCTCGGCTCTGGTTTGTGAAGGCCACAGACGCAGTCCTGAAGTCTCATGCTGTAGCTCTTTATATAGAGACTGGAAGGGGTTACAGAAATGCTTCAGCCCTTCAAGGTCATTTGAGCCAAATTAGTAGCAGAATCAGATAATATCTTTCCAGGGACATTGTAGCCTTCCCTTGTGGTGAGAGATGGCTCTAAACAAATTCCATCTCCTGCCACCTCACCCTCCCCAGGGCGGACGGGCTTCTGTTCTGGCAGGGTCATGAGTGCTGTGCCTTGGCCCGGACGGGGGAGACGGTTTAGACCATGGACTGGATTACCCATGCGCCTCATTCCTCTGGGACTGTGAAAACCCAGCCTCTGCCCCTTGGTGTGTAAAGGGGACGGGGACGGTGGGTGGGACGAGTCTTACTTGGGTGTAATGTTACAGGAAGACTTAGAGGCATCTTGTTCTTGGGATCCATTAATCCTTGAACAGAATCTGGTGATGACATATCACGGCCTGCTCAGCTGGGAGCAGGAATTGACCCCTGGTGAGTATTTTCCAGTAAAATGCATCCAAGTGAGATCGACTTCTCATTTTAGAGTGGCTCTTATCTCATTATGGAGGAGCACATGTTGTCCTCGGGAAAAACATTTAGAATACTCACTCATCTGGGCCCAGAAATAGCTCTGGTTTTCATCAAATCCTTTGACGAGGCTACTAATTGCAAACCCATTACTTGGTTCAGCGGGTTATAAATTTATAACTTATATTACACATGACAGCCTCGTCTAATATTGATGTTCAGATTTTATCTTGCTGAAGTGGTAATATTTAATGTTGAATCTGTGAAGGTATTTTAATTATCCCATTTACTATAATCTAGATGCCTGATGTAACAGCAGAGCCAAATTTACAGATGAGTATTTTTTTTTCCATAAGAAGAAAGAAGAGTTAGTTCTGAAAACTTTTTGCAGTGTACCACCTATGTATAAAAAACAATTTAATGAGAAAAATTCAATTAAAAATGTTTCCAAGGAATATATTTAAACCATAGTGGTAAGTTATATCTATCTACCCATCTATCGATCATATATCTCTATTCATCCGCCTGTTTCTATATCTATATGTCTTTCTGCTTAAGAAAATGTACTGAAACTGATGGGTGTGGTGGTACACACCTGTAATCCCAGCAGCTCGGGAGGCTGAGACAGGAGGATCATGAGTTCAAGGCCAGCCTCAGCAATTTAGCAAGGCCCTAAGCAACTTAGCGAGACCCTGTCTCAGAATAAAAAATAAAAAAGGGCTGGGGATGTGACTTAGTTGTTAAGTGCCCCTGGGTTCAATTCCCCAGTACAAGAAAAAATATAAATATATAGAAAACTTAATAATGACAACATAATAGATCAAAGAGACAGCATGACCTATGTTGGGATTTTTCATGTGAAAAAAAATGAACAGGGAAGGAGTTTGTGTTGCATGAGTTTAGGATTGGTTAGTTGGACCAATTTGGAGGTCTCTGGGCTATGGGGGTGTCTCTAGCTGTCTGGTACCTGCCCTGGGCAGATTTAGGGGAGGGGGTGTGTGAACTTGATGAAGGAGCTGGTGTGCACGTGGGCCAGGGCTGGGTGGTTTGCATACTGAAGCAGGGCTTACAGGGAGTCCTTTGCTGTCTCCAGGGACAGGGACCCAAATGCTAGAGCATCAAGACTACGGAAGACAAGAAAGCAGTCACACAGTCTGGGTGACCGAGGGAACCCCCTCTGGATAACATCTCCCCGTTCCCTGCTGCTTCCAATGTCAATGGCACGCCAGTGACACCCAAGGCCCAGGGTGTCAGTCCTGCAGCCCGGTCTGCTGGGGCCTGGTGCAGCTGGTGACCGTGAGTGGGCAGAGGATGGGGGTGACCTCTTGGCTGGGCTGAGCTGGCTCTGGGAGCCTCTGCCCTCTCCTGAGGGCCCCGCACCATTTCTTCTAGTTCCTCCAGTTTCTCCTGACAGTCATCCTCCCAGGTCGAGTCTCAGGGGACTTATTTTCATTCTTAGCCTCTGCTCTCTGTTGATGGTGGCAGTGGGAGGCACCGGGGTGACAGAGGAGTCTAGGGGCTCTGCCCTGCCTGGCCTATGACCTTGGGGGAACTTTCATAGGGTGCATGTGTGATTTTTTTTTTGTTGTTCCAGAAAAGAAGTTTTATAGCTTTGCTCAAATCCTTAAAGGGCTCCAAGACTCTAAGAGGTTTATCAACAATAGCAACACCACCTAACATCCATGGGATACCTTCTACGTACCTTCTACGCACGACTTTACACTTTTTATGAGTATTAACTTTTCTAAAAAAAATTCTTATCCAACTTTCTGAGGCACAGAAATAACCCTGGTCACACACTGCAGATCAGGGGTCAGCAGCTACAGAGTTCAGGACAAATCTAGCCCACTGCCCTTTTCTAAAAAATTAATTAAGCACTTAATTTTATCATTGTAAAATACTCATAAACATAAAGTTCACCATTTTATCCAATGAAGTATATGTTTCAGTGGCATTCGATGTAGTCACAATCTTTTTTTTTTTTTAAAGAGAGAGAGAGAGGAGAGAGAGAATTTCAATACTTATTTTTCAGTTTTCAGCATACACAACATCTTTGTTTGTATGTGGTGCTGAGGATCGAACCCAGGCGCACGCATGCCAGGCGAGCGCGCTACCACTTGAGCCACATCCCCAGCTCCTGTAGTCACAATCTTGGGTGATCATCACTGCTATCTAATTCTATTGTCCCTAAAGGAACCTCATGCTCATTAAGCAGTTAATCCCATTTCCTCTCTCCCCTTAGTCCCTGGCAATTACGAATCTGCCATCTGGATATTTCTTATAAATGGAATCTGGCTATTTCTTATATATGGAATCATAAAATAGGTGCCCTTTTGTTTCTGGATTTATTCATTTAGCAAAATGCTTTTTAAGTTTCATCTATGTTGTAACATGTATTAGAACTTCACTCCTTTTTTATGGCTGCATAATATTTCAAGGTGTGTATGTAATGACCTTTTATCTATCTGTCAGTTGAGGGACACTTGAGTTGTTTCTATTTTTGGCTATTGTGAATGAAAATCTGTGTACAAGTCTTTGAATGCCTGGCTTTCCTTCTAACATTGCCTGTGTTTGTAAATAAGTTCTTTTTCAAATACAGCATGGCCATTCATTTAGACATTAGGCAGAATTTGGTGAAGACTTTACAGAAAAAGTTTGCCAACTCCTGCATGAATCAGTAGTCCAAAAGTCCAAGACCACCGGGTTAACTTGGGGACCTCCTGAGATTACTAGGACCCGCCCCACCTTCTGTGGCTCTAGGCTCTAACCTGTGCCTCCCACCAGGGGGCTCCCCACTACAAACTGCGAGGCTGCGGGTTGCCTGGGAGGCCCCCTGGCAAGGGGTTTCAGAAACAGTGATCCTGTTTTTTGTACCAACTTCCTCTACCCCCCACACTCACCGCAGTTCCCCGAGGAGCAGGGGTGGCCTGGAGCGCTTCAGTGCCATCTCAGAACTGCTGGCCTCAGAACCTACAGGGACCCTAATCTGCCAAAAGGACCCCCAGACTCACATGCATTTGGAGGAAGTGGCTCTGACGGCAGGATGAGTCTTATTTTAATTGACCCAAAGCAATTTTGATGGCAAATTTTGAACCTTTGGATCTTCTAAATTGTATCATCAGTTTCCATCCGAGTGTAAAAACCTGAATGTGGCTTGAAGTGGTCCCCGGGGGGACAAAGGCCGCCCGTTCCCTGTGTTGGCTGAGCGATGGGATTAATATCAGCTCACCCCCAAACCTGGGCCACGGTGGGCAGCAGCCCAAGGTAGATTTTTTTGAAGTTTTTATTTCATGTTCTTTTTTATTTGATAAATATTTTATTTTAGAAGCATTTGACCTTTACAAGAAAGTTACAAGGATATTAGATAATTCCCACGAACCCCATGATTCCTATTACTGAACATCCTTTATTATTAATTTCTCACTGCAAGATAGAGATTTTGAAAAGTGTGTGTGGAAGTTCCCTTATTATTTCTCCAGTATAAAACATGGATGAACCTGGTTTGGGGTTGTATACTATTTATTTCTACAACAGCATTTGCTATGAAAGCACATTATTGAGCAAAAGCATCAAGAACACTTCTGGCTGCATTTGCAAGAACAGTAGGTAGTGTATACACATTCACATCTGTGTATTGAATGTATGGGGCTGTGATGCGCCTGCACCCAGTTAGCAGAGGCCTGTTATTGGCCCCAGAGACCAAGGAATCCGGGAGGGCTCCTCCCTGCCCTTCAGTAGGAAAAACAGTTTGTTCTAAGTCCAGCAAGTGCCATAGAATCGGCTGTGGCTGCACTTTTTCCACACGCTGAGGCACAAATAGCTCCATGTTTGTAGGTGTTTTAGTTAGCTTTTCTGCTGCCGTGACTCAAAGACTGACCCGAACAATTTTGGAAAAGGAAAAATTTATTTGAGGCCCATGGTTTCAGAGGTCTCCATCCATAGACAGCTGGCTCCATTCCAGGTGAGGATGAATGTGATGGAGGAAGAGTGTGGTGGTGGGAAGCACCTCACATGATGGTCAGGCAGCAGAGAGACCCTACTCACCAGATACAAAATATGTCCTGGAAAGGCCCCCCCCCCCAAAACCCACCTACTCTAGTCAATCTAGTCAATCCCCACCAGAGGATGAATTCACGGATTGGGTCAAGGGTCTCATTTCTCCTTTGAATGTTCTTGATCTTTTGGGGGACACCTCAAATGCAAACCATAACAGTAGGCATAGTGGAATGAACTACCAAAGAAAGAATAGCCCATTCAGATGGGCCCAGTAGCTTGAGAGAGGAAGCTTGTGGGACCCCATTTAATGACTGTGCTGAAATCTGTCCTGACTTTCGACCACCCCTCACTTATCTCATTAGTTCCCCAGGCCAGGGAGAGCTGTATGCACATTGCTATAATGCAGCTGAAATACAAATCCCAACCATTCCTTTCCAACTCACTACTGACCCTGATTTCAATTCTGACATAGAAATTGTGAAGCTTCGGGGCACAGTGGCACATATCTGTAATCCCAGCAGCTCGGGAGGCTGAGGATCA